CCAGTGATTTTTTAAAACCTTAAGTATTTCCTGAAATAATTAGCTTCCATATGGGCTACGTTACATAACAATAAAGCACTTTAATTGAGTGTAACAGTCTGATTTTGATCAACAACTAAACATGGGGGACTTCTCTAGATTTCTTGGGTTGTAATGAACTAGAAACATTCAAAATTGTAGTAACAACGGGTAGACTCTGTCTGAAGGATGGGCAGCCTCCCTCAAAGGACTTCTGGGAAATTCTGTGATGTCAGATTACACATATGTCAGATGTAGGCATTTCCAGAGATGAGGTTTAATTATCACCTCCCATGGCCTCCTCTCCCAGGCAGGGAGTAAAGCTGTAGGTCACCACCAGGCCCTCCCATCTCCTGTTTTAACAAAGGTTTTTCATTTACATGGGAAAATGCAACAAAGATCTTACTTAAGAACACTGCCTAAAGAATGGAATGTTCTTCTTTTAACACAGCATTAAACATTCACCCCCAAAACAAAAACATTTAAAGATATATACAAGTTTGAAACTTTTAAAGTATTCCTCTGTTCAGAGCTGACCGTTAACAGCTTCTAAATAAGGGGGTGCCCAAAAATGTAAATACATTTTAAGTATGATGCTCGCTCGAAAGATGGCATTAATCAAATGAATGTTAGCTTCACCATGGACAGGCAGGACAGCTGAAAATGGTGGAAGCACAGTTGAGCAAACATCATACTTACCGTAATTCAGTTAAACTTCAAAAAATAAGACATAGATAACATCTCTTAAAACGTGTATACATTTTTTGGCACCCCTGCATGTATGGGCATTAACTCAGACTAAATTGAAGATAATGTAGAGAAAACCTTCTTTGAGGTCTTCATTGTGTGCATTCATTAATGTCTAAAGATAACTGGTTACCAGCTCAAGATTTTTTAGTAATCTACATCTTATAAAAGCAGTAAAGTGATGGATGTTTGTAAGAATAATATTTAAACATTCTGATATTTAAGTAGTAACAGTGTGAACAGTGTTAGCCTAAAATGATAAAACAATCAATATTCTGCTGCCTAGGGATAGCAACATAATGTTAGAGTTGTAGAGTTTGAAAATTCAATAAAAATCTTATTCTTAAAGAAGGCATCACAATATAGTGAGAAGCACTAAATTAGAAGATTAACTCTCTGACCTTCAGGAATTGGGAATTTTACATTCTAGCTTTGCTACCACCTAATATATGACCTTGAGGAACTGCAGAAGTGTAACACTGTTCATCTTGGAGATGGTCTATTCCACTGATCCCACCTTATAACCAAGGAAAGCGACACCTGCATTTGCCCAAGTGAGGAGTGAAGCAACAACTGGTTTAGTAATCTTTTGACTATAGCAAGAGGCTTCTGTTTCTGGGTGAGTATTACTTCGTCCAGATTCACCTAATGACTGTGTCTGTGAACATGCTAGAGTGGTACATAGTGCTTGATGCTTCAGTAAGGATAAATTACAATAAAAATCAAAGTAACTGAATTTCATATTTCTTGAAACACCATTTAACAGTCAGGGCAGACTAATGCGCATAAAATCCAAGGAAAGCTGGAAAATGCCCAAGGAGACTATTTATTTTACAGCTTTGGTTAAATACATCCATAATATTTATTTTTGCAAACACGCCACACAATGGAAAAACTTTCTCATAAAACCTCTCAAGGCTTTTCTGTTCTTCCTTCACTTGTTTTTGCTTATATTTGAGGTATCAGGGCTTGATTGTGTTGGAGGTAGAATTCATGGGCGAAAATGTGTTAACTTGACCATATTTTCAGGTTTGGTTTCTTCTTCAAGTTTAACAGTTTAAGGGAGAGAAACCTCAGTTCCCATAATGGAAGAAATAAGTGGCATAATGCAGATTAGTAAATAATACTAATTCTTTCTAAAAGTTATAACTAGGATAGCTAACATATATTGCATGCTTATGATGTGCCTAGTACTGCACTAAACTTTTATGCTTAATTGAATCACACCCTTCAAGTTGACGCCCTATTATCTCCCCCAGAGTGAACTTTCAACAGGGAGTCTGCTAAATTCTGGAGTGGCAGTAGCAGGAAAGCAGGGTTCACCTTAGAGCAGATGCAGTAGGTGCTGAGGGCTAGAGCTCACCCACAGGACTTCATGGGTCCTCTCATAACACCTACAGCACAACCATTCCTGATGCAGAGCCCAGAGGCAACTGGTGCCTAAGTGAATTTGTGAAATCTTGATATTAATTCCCACTTTGGAGCACAAAAAAACCCATAGGTAAGGGGGGAAAATGCTCTTCACCTCCCCTCTTCCTTCTCTTGGGATTCTTATTTCTCCTGCCTTAGGCCAAGAGCAGAAAGTTATGGCATTCCCAGGGGATAAGGTTTAGAGCTGACTGAAAAGCCAAAACAACTGCCTTAACAGAACACCAAGGAGAACTAGCTACTCTGGCCCTCCTGGAGATCCTGTGGCTATGGCCACACAACACATGGATAGACGCTCTGCTATTTTACAGGTTTCCCGGCCTCTACCGCATATACAGGGGGGACCCCCCTCAAAAATGGAATTCATTTATAAAAAATTGTGTATTTATTCTTACATGTTTAAACTTCAGCCACCTTCAAAGTACTCTTCATCTGATGCAAATACACCTATTGAGATGCTTTTTTCCACTGCTCAAAACATCTTTTGAACTTGTTAATTTTGATGCCTTTTAGTGCCTCTGCCATTTTTTGGTTTCACATCACGGGCAAAACATTTCCCTTCACAGATTTTTTGCATCTGGGGCAACAAAAGAAAATCGCTTGGGGCAAGATTGGGTGAATGGGAGGGTGAGGCATGAGGGTCATGCCCGTTTTTGGTCAAAAACTGCTAAACACTCAGTGCAGTGTGGGCAGGTTGTTTGTGTAAATCACCCATCATGAAACAGACAAACGCCTTGAAAGAATCTCAAAAAAAGTTAATTGAAGCTGAACATAGCCTCTCACAGCAACACAAGTTGGTACACTGATGCTGATGGGTTTCTAGAACACTAATCTAGTGGGGAAGCCTATACTATAAAGGGTCTGCTCTCCAAAAAGAAAAAAAAATATTTCGGCTTTTTTTAGGTCCCCCTCATAAATTTAAAATGTGTGTGTATATACACACATGCATGCATATACACAAATACATAATAGACAATGTACCTAGTACAGTGGGTGGCACATGCTAGCATTTGATGAATGTGTTTTTTCTTTCCTACTCCCATTCCCTAAAGAGGCATGTAATGAATGGAGTTTAGGATGCTGAGATACAGTTCTTTAATTCTGTCAGATGTCACTGAAGATTTGCCCTCCTGCTTTTTATTATAATTATTCACTTCAGAACTCTGGGGATTTTATAGTACATCAAATAAGTGATAGGCAACAAATTCGAGGCAGAGATGGTTATTCAGCTAACGAAAAGCCACTATCAACAGAAAGATTATCATCTCTGGATCAGTTTTGCTACTTTTGGAAATGTTAAAATCTGAAAAAATCCCAGTGATTCCTAATGGTAATTTCTTCTTCAGTCTATTAAAAATAAAATGGAGGTTTTATTTAATTGAGCTACAAGCATTTCCCAGTAGTTTACATAGGTTATATTTCAGTTTAAGTGCAGAACTGACAAGAAAATGACCACCTACTTTCCACAAACAAAATATCCTTTGGGTGATAAGTAAACTAAAGGAAAATGTACCTAATGCTCTATTTCTTTTTTATCAGAACCCTAAAATCACTACAGGAAATCACAACAGAACGTTATGCACTATCAAGTCATAACACTATTAAATATTACCTGTTATATACAGATGGAGATATACCAAAATTAATCTCTACTCAAGAAAGGTCAACTAGTAAACAAAACTATAAATGTGCAATAACTAAAAAGGGAATAACATTAAACCTTAAGGCAGCATTGGTTGAGTCGTCTCTGGTAAAGGAAGTATTACATATTTCAGTGACTGGTAAATGCTTTAAAAACGAATTAAATACTAAAATAATGTTTTGAAAAAGAAATAAGACTGATTTTAAGACTCCTACAAAATGAGTTTGTATTGGAATTTTAATTTGGGATTAGAAAGCATACATAGGAACATAGTGATATAAAGTTATAGCAGTTTTTCCTCAAATACAAAATAAAGATACCTAGAAATTATTATTATTATTAATTAGCACTCTTTGGGCTCCTTTTTCATTTATTGTTGCATTCAGAGTAGTTATTGGAAAATTCAGCTGATGGTTAAATAATATGTGGTCAGGCTGAACTTTACCTGAGTGAAGTGGTTTCAGACTGCATTAGTGACATATCATTATGTTCTGATTTTATATATACGTCCTTAATGCTGGGTTTGCTTACCTGGTAGTTTGCCTAAATCACTGTGTCCCAAGCATTGGTGCCAACCTAAAATGATGACATCTGTTGTGGCTGAAAAAGTCATATTTTGACAAACATATTTCAAGCTCTTTAATAAACACATTTTGGGATTTGTTTTCTTTGCAGCTTGGTTTGTTGGATTTTTTTCAGTTAAGCCTGAAAATTACCTTTAGTTGTGTCACAGATCCAGTGCTACATGCCGACAGAACAACAGTACGACACGAAGAACAGATAAAAACCTCTAAAAAACGTTCAAATGAAAAAAGCTCTCACACGGCGCTGAGAAATAAAATGTAGGCACTTCTGCTTCAGGAGGTTTTCACATTTTGATCACAGATGGCTTTTAAGCCATTTTCTTTCACTACTGGAAATTCCCTCATGATACAAACCATTTAGTTCACTGGAAACCTTGTTCTCACAAACACCATTCTGGGGCATTCATCTTTTTTCATAAAATCGTCTTCACTGACAGCCGAGATGAAGTCCTTCCACTGCTGAAGCCGTCAGAGCAGCCCTGCCTCCCTATCTGAGAACTGAGTGCGGCTCCCAGACCTTCCCTCAAGCGAGGCTGCTTGCTCTGCAGAACCAAGTTATCCGTCAACGAAATATAGAGGAGTGTCAAGTGCAAATTTTCTCCTGGAAATAGTTAACGTGTCTGCCTCTCTCCTAGTTCCTTATTGTGAGTGTAATTCACAAAGTGTATAGTTTTCATAACATTTTAAAGCTACTGGGCTACTGGGATTTTTTTAAATGACTACTTAAACAATTTCCTTTTTTGTTCTTTTTCTTTCATTCTTTCTTTTTTGTTGAGAAAACCCGTGCTAAAAAGGCACTAGAAATAGAATGAATTTCCTCAATCTTGCATGTAGCAATTATTATACATTGTGTTCGAGTCTAAAAGTTGACACAGGTGACACACATTTGGATAAAACATCCAAATTATTCAGACTCATCTACTTTCACTTAAAAACAAACCCCAAGTCAAAGGAAGAGCAGGCCACACTGAAGCCACGCCCGGGCATCCCCGGCCTTCTCAGCACTCCAGCCGCGGCCTCTGGCCGTGGCGGCCGAGGGAGCGCTTGCCGACAAGAGTGAGCAGAGCAGTGGCCCAGACCCAGGGAGGGCTCACTGGCAGCAGCTGTGGGAGCCAAGCCTCCTGGAGACCTGAGTAAAGGAGACGAAGGTGAAGTTCTCACAGTTTTCCAGCTTGACCTTCTTGGCTAAGTTGGGGACAACTCCCCGAAGAGACCGCAGTCCCATCCTCTGCTCCTCATACCACACGCTGCCCATGTCTGAGGCCTCCTTCCTGGCGGTCAGGTAGAAGGGGGACTTGGCCTCCATCTGGGTGGGCGGCCGGTGGATGTACATATACTTGTAGAGGAGGCAGTAAGGGCACTGTTTGTGCCCCCTGGAATGTTCATGGTAGATTTTCCCGTGACAGGCCCTAGTGGAACCACTCCGACTCTCGCGCTTGACACTGTCTGTCCGGGCGAAGTAGGGCTGGTTCTGCAGGTCTTTGAGCAGCTCAATGTCGCCATACATCAGGTCTGCATGCTCCTGCAGCGTCCGCATGTTCAGGTACTGGCTGTTGTACTTGACCACAGTGGAAAGGAGGGTGATAGGGCTGTCATCCCCTAGACAACCTGCTTGCCACATCTCCTCCTCATCAGAAAGGGAGAAGTAGACGATGTTGCGGGAACGGGCACCTGACATGCCCGCCTTACTCAGCACCCACAGCTTCTCCTTGAGTTTCTTGGTGGAAGAGCTGAAGGTGCTGCTGGTGATGGAGAAGCCCACACCTGCATTCTTCAGGATGCGGTCCAGGCCTCGGCGAATGGCATGGAGTGAGGTGGCCAGGAAGTCTGAGCCGTCACTCTTCTTAACGGTGACATAAAAGTTCTCGAGCAGCTCGTTCAGCTTCACTGCAGGGATCTCAAATGAGACAAACACTGAGGTTATACATTTGAGAACACCCACACAGCCAGACCCCTTCTTTCTTCTCCTAACCCTCACCAGGGCTGAACTGTTGACAAGTCATTCTGGGGCCTCTAGAGGGGTGAACCCTTATCATGATATAGTGAAAAGTACAGTGAGTTTCAAGCTGAAAGATCTAGGTTCCATACTTGGCTCTACCTAATTTATTTATTTAATTTTTATTCTTTAAGAGACAAGGTCATGCTCTGTTGCTCAGGCTGAAGTGCAGTAGTGTGATCAGCTCACTATAGCTTTGAACTCCTGGGCTCAAGCAACCCTTTTGCTTCAGCCTCCTGAGTATCTGGGACTATAAGCATGAGCTATCATGCCCAGCTCACCTGATCGCTTTAAACCTCAGTGCTTAAATTTGTAAAATAGTACATAATAATCAATAACTTCTCAAAGGATTGTTGTAATGCTTGAAGTAGTGGACCATGAAAGAGTTTGTAAATAATCATTAACACCCCCCCCACACACACGTAAACACATACATGTTTGCAAATATCTACCTGTGTCTTTATATATATATATATATATATATATATAATTATTACTGGCTGTAACTTTCACTGTTCCTCCTAGAAGGCCCTTTATTTTCTTTGCTTGCAAATCATTTGCTTCCCTCCCTTCAATAAAATTCAGCCATCCTCTCTGAAGGCTTCCTGAATTAAACTTAAACTCTGAAAAACTTCAGCACTAATTTCCTTGATGTCTGTACACACTGTTTGGTACTGCTGTTACTAAACATAGTGTTGTAGGAAAAAGACAACTGATATGTCCGTTTTGCACAGCAAGTTAATGTTCCTTGATTTTTCACTTGAATTTATCTGAGTGGGTCCTGAAGTATCTTGAGCTTAATGATCCGTAGGTTTTCAATATCAATTATTTGCTTAAAATATATGAAAAACTTAATGAGTATACTGACAGAGAGAGCTCCTTATTTGGATATTGCAGGAAGAGAAGGAAGTTTGGCTAGTAAGAAAGCCTGATTTTCAAGACGGAGCTGTAAGAACAACCTAGACCTACTATTCATCGTCTAATCAGGCTGAATATACATTCTAGGTCTTGATCAAACAATTTTTTTATTGAATAGAAACTGTATAGGTAGCATTCATTCTTCTAATAGCCCTTGAGTCAAAGAGAAAATAAAAGCCTGAATTTAGATTAAAAATTAATCAAACTGAGAATACTCAAAATATGTGAGATATTGCTAAATATACTCCAATAACATAGTTTTGAATGACATTGTTAGAAAACATTTTTGAGAATAAGCGAACTGAGTATTAAACTCAAAAAGGTAGAAAAATAAATCAAATAAAAAAAAGAGTGAATCCATACAAATAAAAATATAAATTAACGAATTAGAAAAAATATGAATTGGGTCAGATAAAAATAAAAGCAAGTAATCTTTCAAAGGAGACCTATAAAGTCAACAAACTCCTAACAGGACTGGTTTTAGAAAGAAAGAGAAAAAGGAGAAAAGGAAGTATGTAGATGTTTAAACAATATTAGAAATAAGAAAGACTATAATTACAGAAAATGAAGAGAATAAAGGATATGAAAGAATATCACATACTTTATGTATATTAATTTGAAAATCTAGGTAATCTGGACAATTTTCTATTTACTAAAATATGAATGACCGAAGTTGGTTCAATATATGGTAAAAGATTTGAATAACTCCAAACAAGAGAAGAGAGGGAAATGATTGTCAAAGATGTATATCATTCCCAAAGAAATAGCTTTATGGATTCAATTCAGCTTTTCTTTTCTATTTAAACCATTTTGGCATAGAAAAAAGGCAGGAAGGTCCTTTATTTTTTTTAACCCAAATCTGACCAACATTACACCAAAACCCACAGTATAAGAATACAAATGTAAACTTCCCCAGGTAAAATACAGGCACTTTTCATTTTACACTCCACTATTGTTAAACAAAATGTGTGCACATTAGTACCATGCAAAGCGAGGGCGTGGCTCTGAAATGTAGAAGTTCCAGTTCATATGGTACCTTGCAAAAACAAGGACTGCCTGTATTATCAAGTCAACTTCAGGACTATAGTGCAGCAAGACTGCATCAAAACAAGTGGGAATTATTGTAAGTGTAAAAATGATTCCATCTTCATATTTTAATATAATTGACATTCATGCATTAAGGAGAAAATAATATGAATTTATAGATACTGAGAAAGCATTTGAAAAAATGTGATATCCACATTTTAAAAAATTCAAATTAAACTTAAGTTGAAAAAAAAGACCTTCTTACTATAATAAAGAGTATTTTACAGGCAAGAAGTAGAAAAATTATGCCAACAATGAAAACATTCAAATCTTTCTTATAAAGTCAGAAACAGCATAGGTATACTGAATATCACTGTTATTATCTAACACTATTCTGGAGTTTCTAACCAACCAGATAAGAAAAGAGAAAGAGGCTGGGTGCAGTGGCTCAGTCTGTAATCCCAGCACTTTGGGAGGCTGAGGTGAGAGGATTGCTTGAGCCCTGGGGGTCGAGATCAGCCTGGGCAACTTAGTGAGACCTCATCTCTACAATAAATTAAAAAAAAAAAGCCAGGCATGGTGGTGTGTGTCTGTAGTTCCATCTACATGGAAGGCTGAGGTGGAAGGATCAACTAAGTCCAGTAGGTCGAGGCTGCAGTGGCTGTGAGCATGCCATGGCACTCCAGCCTGGGCGACACGAGTGAGACTTCAACTCAAAAAAGAAAAGAAAAAGAAGTTTCTTTAAGAAAATAATTATGTTTTCTGATAATCTGATTGTTGGTTTAGAATACTCTGAGAGATTCAGCTAAAAAGCTATCAGAGTAGGGCAGGTGTACACAAAATACAAGAACAGCTTTCTTATATACCAGCAGCAACCAGTTAAAATAACTTCTCAATAACCATGACACACAAACTCGGCTGGCTTTGGATTTTTATGTTGTTACCTGCAACTCCTTACTCGCAGGTGTTAACCTCTTAAATTACTTGGGACTCCTTTGGTTGCAAGAGATAGACCAAACTTGAACAAGCCTAACCAGAGAGGGATATCAGAATTAGTGGACCCCAGGGATTCTTTTTATCCCTCATCTCTGCTTCTCTGTGCAGATGACTTTTTTTCACATAGCTGCAAACATAGCCACCTAGCACCCCCCAAGGTTCACATCTTAAAGGTTCAGGCTTAGCAAGGGATCAACTCTCATTTTCAGTAGAAAAATAATCCAAAGAAGGATTCTGACTGGCCCACTCCTATCCAAACAACTCATCAAAAGGTCATCCATTCTACTAATGTGATGGCTTCTACAATAACCATGTGGATTGTAGGAGAGGAACATTCTTAAATAAGGGACGTTGATCAAGAAAATCTTATTTTTTACCTTAGTGCTTTAAACAAGAAATAGACCTCTGACAGCTCTCTGTCACCCTTGGGATAAGCTCCAAACTGTACCTTGTATACAAGTCTTTACAACCTGCTTTCCACTCTGTGATAGACCATTTGCAAAGACAGCTACAATTCCCCTCCCTGTATATAAACCCCTTGGCAATGTGACTTTGCTGCTTCTCTCACCAAGAAGTGGAATCTATTTTTCCACTCCTTGAATCTGGGCTGTCCATGTGACATACTTTGGCTAATGGAATATAGCAGAAATAACAATGGGTCAAGTCCAAGTCTAGGCCTCAAGTTTTTAGCTTATAGGTTCTTGTTAGTCTTAGTGCATGGTGTTGCCATGTGGGAATATGTGGACAAGTTGTTTCCCATCTAATATCCAGATAACTGCACCCACATGAGTACCCCAAGTGAAACCACTGGAGGAAATACTCAGCTGAGCTCAGTCCAAAATGCTAACCCACCAAATCATGAGCAAGTAATATTATCACTGCTTTAAGGCACTGTTTTTGGGTGGTTTTATTGCAGCAATAGATAACTGGTACACATTTTCTATGCTCTTTGTCTATTTTCCAGCCTCACTAAACTTTTTGCCACTCCTAGAAACCACAGGGTCCTTTCATGTGTCTAAGTTTTTACACAGGCTACTTCCTCTGCCTAGAATGCTTTTTCTTCTAACCTTCTCTGTTTGGAAAATCTCTATTCATTCTTCCAGAATTAGCTCAAATTCTGCTTTCTATAAAAGAGTTCTCTGGCTTCTATAAGCAAAACTACTCTCTCAACTGGGATCTCACGACACTTAATTTAAATTTTTATTCCAGTCCTTTCTAGGTTGTACAGACTTTTATCTATTTATATGTCTATCTCTCGAAGTGAACTGAAAGCTCCCTGAAAGCAAGAACTACATCTCATTCTTGACTGGGTCTTCAACACTTACCAGGAGACCTGAAAAATGTAATTGGCAGAATTGATAACCATAGGTTAAATGAATAAATTAATCTTGGTGTCAGGAGAACCAAGCTGACTTAGGATACAGAACATTTTTCTTGATTTACACAGAATACCACAAGTTTCAAAGTGAAATAACGGCAAAAGCAATTCCTGGAGAAATGTCACATCACAAAATTTATATTGTTTGTAACAAGAAACATTTCATTCTGGTCCATTTCAGCTGCCTCCTTAGTTTTCTCAAACTAGGTTTTGGTTGGTGGTTTCCTCATGATTTTCCATATATACGATCGTGCCATTTGCAAAAAGATATCGTTTACTTTCTTTTCCATTTTGGAAGCCTATTGTTTCATTTTATTTCCCAACTGTCCTGACTTGAACTTCCAGCACTACAGAACAGAACAGAGAAGCTGAAGAGAAATGGCAAGGGCTGACAGCCTTCTCTTAGTCCTGACCTTAGGAGTAAAGCATCCAGTCTTCTACCACTAAATATGATGTGAGCTATAGGTTTTCCATAGCTGCCCCTTATCAGATTGAAGAAGATCCCTTCTATTCCTAGTTTGTTGAGTCTGTGTTTTTACCATGAAGGGGTACTGAATTTTCTCAAATGCTTTTTCTACACCTATTGAGATGATTATGTGGCTTTAGCCTTCTGATCTTTATCTTACTAATATGGTGTATACATTAATTGATTTTCAGATGTTAAACCAACCTTATACTCCTGGGATAAAGCCCATTTGATCACGGCATATAATCCTTTTTATATGTACTAGATTCACTTTGCTAATATTTTATTGAGGATTTTTGTGTTTATATTTGTATAATGTTTTTGTCTCGTTTGGTATTAGGATTATACTGGCCTCATCAAATAATCTGTGAAGTGTTTCCTCCTCTTCTATTTTTTGGAAGATTTTGTGAAGAATTGGTATTTCACCATTAAAGACATTTGGGCCTAAGATTTTCTTCGTGAATAGTTTTTATTGTTGGTATTGTTACAAATTCACTCGCATTATTTGTTACAAGTCTATCATAGTTTCTATATCTCCTAGAGTCAGTTTTGGTTAGTTAGTGCTTTCTAGGAATTTTTCCATTTCCTCTAAGTTACCTAGTTTGTTTGCATACAACTGTTCACGGTATTTCCTTATAATCCTTTTTATTTCTGTAAGGTTGGTAGTAATATACTCTCTTTTATTCCTGGTTTGTAATTTGTAATTTGAGTCTTCTCTGTTTTCTAAATCTTAACCTCTTTTCTTAATTGCCATAACCTTGTTTTATCTAGCCTATCTTTCAGATAGTTTCTTTAGATCTTTCTTACAATTTACCAATGATTTTGTCATCTAGGTCTAAATCTAATTTTTAGCCATATAAATTTTTTATTTTGACAGTATATATTTTTTTATCTCTTGAAGTTTTTTTTTCCCCCTCTGAGTCAGGATCTTATTCTGTTCCTACAGGTTAAAGGGCAGTGGCATGATCTCGACCATTGCAGTCACAACCTTCTAGGCTCAGGCGATCCTTCTGCCTCTGTCTCCTACAGGTGCGCACTAATGTGCCTGGCTAATATTTTGATTTTTTTGTACAGATGAGATCTCACTCCATTGCCTAGGCTGGTCTCGAACTGCTGGGCTCGAGTGATCCTCTAGCCTCAGCCTCCCAAAGTGCTGGGATTACAGGTGTGAGCCACCATGCCTAGCCTATTTCTTGAAGTTCTTTTTGTTTCATATCATTGATTTTAGACCTTTCTTCTTTTATAAGCATTTAAAGCTAATTTTTTTCTCTAAACATTGCTTTAGCTGTATCCCACAAATTCTGATAAGTTGTTATTTAATTTTCATTCAGTTCAAGATATTTTATAACTTCCTTTGTGATTTCTTCTTGGTCTATTGGTTATTTAGTAATGTGTTGATTTCCAGGTATTGAAAACTTTCTAGCTAGCTACCTGTAATTAATTTATAATTTAATTCTGTTGTGGACAGAGAACATGCTCTGTATGATTTCTATCCTCCTAAATTAATTGAGATTTGTTTTATGAGCCAGCATGTGCTCCACCTTGGTAAACATTCCATGTGCATTTGGGAAGAATGCCTATTCTGCTGTTGTTGGTTGGAGTGTTGTACACATGTCAATTAGGTTACGTTGGGTTGATAGTGTTAAGGCCTTATCCCTACTGATTTTCTGTCTACTTGCCTATAAATTACCAAGGGAGACGTGTTGAAATGTAGATTTGCTATTTTTCCTTTAAGCTCTGTCATTCTTTATGTATTTTTTTTGCTCTGTTTTTAAGTGTATACACACTTAAGATCTTCATGTCTTCTTGATAAACTGACTTTTTTTTACCATTATAAAATTTACTTCTTTATTCCTTTATTCCTGTTGAGATTTCTTCTGTGGAACTCTACCTTGTTTGATATTAATAACCTCTTCAGGTTCTCATGGTTTTGTTTCGTTTTTTGAGTCGGGGTCTCACTATGTCACCCAGGTTGGAGTGTAGTGGCATGATCACAGCTCACTGCAGCCTCAACTTCCTGGGCTCAGGTGATCCCTCTTCCTCACCATCCCCAGTAGCTGGGACTATAGGCAAGTGCCACCACACCTGGCTAATTTTCAGTTTTTTTGGTAGAGTCACTATGTTGCCTGGGCTGGTCTCAAACTCCTGGGCTCAGGTTATTCTCCTACCTTGGCCTCCCAAAGTGCTGGGATTATAGGCATGAGTCACCATGCCTGGCCACGATTAATATCTACATACTATATCTCTCTTTCTCATCCTTTTACTTTTAACCTTTCTCAGTCCTTATATTTAAAGTCAGATGCAGATAGCACAAGTTGGTCCTTGCTTTTTAAAAATACAATCTGACAATGGCCTAAATGTAATGTTTAGGCCATTTCCATTTAATATAATTATCATATGGCTGGGTTTAAATCTGTCATCTTGCTATTTGTCTTCTATTTGTCCCACTGGTCCTTTCTTTTTTCCTCTTCTTTTCCTGCCTTCTTTTGGATTGAATATTTTTTACAGTTCCACAATTCCATTTATTCCACATTAGGGTTATCAGCGCTATCTCTTTCATTTATATTTTTAGTCTTGTTCTAAGATTTGCAATATACATTTTTAACTTATCACAGTCTACCTTCCAGTACTATACCACTCCACATATAGTGCTGGACCCTTACATCACTACATTTCCATTCTCCCACCTGTCCTTTTTGCTATTATTGCAATGCCAACAATCATCTCTTGTTGCTTCCCTATGTACAGCTCCAAAACTCTAAGATCTCAGTTGTCCTTGGGCTTCAAATGTGACCTCTATTTACAAGATCTTTCCATTTATATTTCCAGCTTAAAGAGTTCCACCATGTTTTAAGTCATACATTCCCAAGTGTTTACTGGACATGTCCATCTGTACATCTGATTTAGATTCAACACAGGCAAATCAACATACATTATGTTTCTGTCCTGTCTCCACAAATCCAGGATTCTTTCCTTCCATTTACAAACCGCAAGCATTTCAAGTAGGGTTCATTTTTTGTTTTTTATCTATTTTTATTTTATTATTATTTTTTGAGTTGGGGGTCTCACTCTGTCAAACCAGGTTGGAGAGCAGTGGCACGATCATGGGTCATTACAGCCTTGACCTGGGCTCAGGCTATCCTTCTGTCTTGGCATCCCAAGTGGCTGGGACTACAGGCATGTGCCACTACTCCTGGCTAATATTTTGATTTTTTGTAAAGTCGAGGTCTTGCTATGCTGCCCAGACTGGTCTCAAACTCCTGGGCTCAAGCAGTCCTCCCACCTTGGCCTCCGAAAGTGCTGGGATTATAGGCATGAGCGACTAACCCAGCCCATGTTTTTTGTTTGTTAGATTTTTTTTGTTTTGAGTTGGAGTCTCACCCCATCACTCAGGCTGGAGTGCAGTGGTAAGCTCACAGCCATCCCAGCATCGACTTGCTGGGTTCCAGCAATCCTTCTATCTCAGTCTTCCAAGTAGCTGGAACTACAGGCGCGCGCTACCACACCCGGCTAATTTTTTTGATTTATTGTAGAGATGAGGTCTCACCAAGTTGCCCAGGCGGGTCTCAAACCTGCGGGTTCAGGAAATCCACTCACCTCAGCCTCCCAAAGCACGGGATTACAGGCTGAGCCACCAACCCTGGCTCTTCCTTCTCTTGCAAACAACTTCAGTGGTTTCTCTTTTGCCTAACCCTTAAGATGCGTGCAGACCTTATGGCCAGGGTGTTCTCCCTATTGCAAAAGTTCCTTTCCCTGCTTCTGCACTAATCCTTTCAAATAAAGTTTCTCTTTATCCAAAACAAAAAACTTCAGTGATTTCCCAACATTCACAAGATTATTTATTTATTTATTTATTTAAATGTTTATTTTTTTTAATTAATTTTTTATTTTTGAGTTGGAGTCTCACTCTGTCGCCCAGACTGGAGTGCAGTGGCCGCTCCCGGCCACCACAGCCTCGACCTGCTGGGCTCCGGCGATCCTTCCACCTCAGCCTTCCGAGTAGCCGGAATTACAGGCATGCGCTACCACGCCCGGCTGATTTTTTGATTTATTGTAGAGATGAGGTCTCGCCTGCCCAGGAGGATCTCGAACCTGTGGGCTCAGGCAATCCACTCACCTCAGCCTCCCAAAGGCGCGGGATTACAGGCTGAGCCACCGAGCCCGGCATTCACAAGATTTTAACATGGCACTTAAAGCTGATCAAAATCTGCTTTTGTTGTCCACTATACCAATATATAAAGCCTCTGCTGTAGGCAAGTGAGTTTATCCCCCTAAAATTTACACTTCCTCATATCACTCAGCCTAGAAGATTGTCCTCATCTGATTCTACTGAAATCCTCTCTCTCCTCAAAATACAGCTCAAATACCAATTCTCTCTTCAGTCTTAACAAACAAAATCAATGTATCCATCTAAATTTTCAGGCATTCTGCTCTATAAATTCATAAAACACTAAATTCTGCTTTGTACTGTGGGTATTTTTCTTTCTACTTTATGTTATTTCAAAGTTTCCCCAAGGAGAAAGCATGTTCTACATTTCTTACAATGCTTAGCACAGTGCTTGGTATTTGGAGCTCGGCAGAGTTGGCTGAAAGAAGTATAAACTCGAGTCCCTTACCTTGGTGATGTCCGTGTGATCTTTGAGCCCGTTGGTCATGCACCAATATCGCCACACATTCAGAGCATAACGTGTGGCTTTGGTAGTGTTTGGGCTTACCGCACTGGTACACAGATCATTCAAGTCATCATTAATATTAAACACAGGAAATTTGTTGAGCTTAGTAGAATAAGCTAGAAACAAAAACAATAAAAGCATTAAAATAATCGGCCATTTCTTCTTTAGATAATTACATCTTGGGATTATGTAAAAAACAGAGAACTCCAAAAAGATAACTTTTTCAAAAATGAAATTTCTATCAAGTATACATATATTAGAATAAATAATGTAAGGAACAACACTTACATGAAATTAGTTCAGTAACCTTGTATTTAATCCCAACTACTTTGCCATATATACTAACGTATGTATCAATGCAGGCATTCCAACAATAGTAGGGGAAAAATGAATCCTGAAAACAAAGAATGTTCTACCTAAATTATTCACTGAAAAAAAAGCATTTCTATTAACAATAACAACAATAAAGAGACAGATGGAAGGACAGAGAGATGGGGGTGGGGAGGAAGGAAGAATTACACATCCTTAGCATGCGAAGTAATACAGTCTCTTATGTCTTGTGTGCCATTATGGGCAGCCTTGAATTAAATGGTCTTAAATGGTTTCTTTAACATTTTTTGCAAATTAATAAAGAGAGAGATGGTTAAATTCTGATTCTACAACCCAATCAACCAGTTACAAATCAGGATGAAAGTTCAAATGAGAGAAATAGTAGGGGAAAGAGGGAGGAGGGGCTCACATCTTCTCAGAGAAGAAGGAACATATTTTAAATTGCCAAAATTACTTCGGATAAAGACCAGTCTTCCTCAATACGTCCACTTTAAGTGCTGGCTGCCAAAGAAATAACTTAGTCCATAATCATTAGCTGGCTTTTTCTTATACTCTGTGATCTGCTAAAGAGACATTTAACTTGTTCAAGTTGTCATCATTGGATTAAAAAAAAAATAGTTCAGCCTGTAATCTCACGCCCTTAGGAGGCTGAAGTGAGTGGATTGCCTGAGCCCATGGGTTCGAGACCCACCTGGGCAGCGAGACCTCATCTCTACAATAAATCAAAAATTAGCCGGGCGTGGTAGTGTGTGCTTGTAGTTCCAGCTACTTGGAAGACTGAGGTGGAAAGATCGCCGGAGCCCAGCAGGTCGAGGCTGCGGTGGCCGGGAGCGGCCACTGCACTCCAGTCTGAGCGACAGAGTGAGACTCCAACTCAAAAAAAAAAAAAAAAAAAAAAAAAAGTCCAGGTAGAACACCTCAAAGTAGAAACACTGCCAACCTGTACCGCATCTTAATAGTTCTGACCTTTTCTGGAATGTTTCTGTATTCAAACAAGGCACTAAGCAGCTAGGTCTATGAGAAAAAGCAAAATCAAAGCAAACGCAATTACTAATCTGCAGATTGGTTTCACTTGATGAACTCCCCTCCTCTAAAGAGCTCCTCTCTACCAAACCACCAGTCTCCTACTGTCCCCTGGATCTGCCTGTCCCAGGACACCACACCACACTCTTCCCACACATAGCCAAGGAATCGCCACATGGTCTTCATACAAATCAAAATATCGGGGTTTTTTTCCATTCCAATTTCAGTTCCAAACTCACTTTTAAATAACCTTTCCCCACACTAACCCAGCTCCCTTTTTCCCTCCTTTAGTATGAGCCTCACATTTGCTTTATTATTTTTTAGAGTGTGTTCTAAGTGTGTCAATTGGTTTGTATGCTCCTTAAGACTGTGTCTTCACCCTTTGAATCTTGATCCTGCCCAGAACTGTTGCACACACAATCTTCTCTATAAATGTTTGTAGCAGGAGGGGATTAAGCAAGGCTGGAAACCATCTGAAACAAGTGGGTCATGTAGGTATAACTCTCACTACCTCATACACCTAGATAACTTCTATTATTTGTAGGACTTGCTTGATAGTAAAGAAATGAAATACAATGTATTATTATTATATATTTAGCATGAATGGAATACCTACTATATGCCAAGCGGTTTTATATAAATTATCTGTAAACCATAAGCAAGCCTGCTGTTATCACTATTTTAGAGATAAGGAAACTGAGCCTCATACATCTAAGTAACTTCATACATTCACTCATCTAATATTTTCCAAGGCACCCTCTCTGTGCCAGGCACTGGGTTGTTTAAGTCAAAGAGTTAGTAAGAGGAAAAGCCAGGATCTGGACCTGGGTTTCTCTGACTCCATGCTCTGGACACTACAGCAAAGGAAGCAGGTACTACAAGGATAAATTATCAGAAAAGAATACAATTTATATATTAGCTTGTGCTTTTGAAAAACATCCTGGTCCCCCAAATTTACTGAGATTAACATTCTGTAAGAATAAGCCTGATTTATTTAAATGATCACTATAGTTTCAAACAGATTGGATGACTAAGTTTAATTATTACATTAAACAATTACATGGCCTAAAACCATAATTTTTAAATTTTTAACCCAGAGACGGCAGTACATTAAAAATGTAAACCATAAGCATAGTGCACAGTAAAACAGGTAGAGAACGCTTGCATATTTACATAATGGGAAAGAAATTGTGTGAAAATGATTAAATGACATATATGAGGGGGGATCTCCCTAAAAATGGAATTATCTTTTGGAGGGTGGGCCCCTTGTAGTACACTTGGAATTTGTTCCTCTGGATCAAATGGCCAACCAAAGTTTTAATCTGAAAGTTTTGAGAAGGTTGCATCACGATTTGTGGAAGAATCATCCCAAGTTTTGGCAAACAGGTGACTGTTTCTTCCATCATGACAACACACCTGCCCACACTGTGCGGAATGTTCAGCAGGTTTTGTCCAAAAAAGTCAGGACCACCATGCCCCCCACCCTCCCTATTCACCTAATCTTGCCCTGAATGACTACTTTTTTTGTTGTTTGTTTCCCCAGATTTAAAAAGTTCTTGAAGGAAAACGTTTTGTAAATGTGGAAGAGGTGAAGCAAAAAATGGTAGAAGTACTAAAAGGCATCAAAATTGATGAGTTCAAAAACTGTTTTGAGCAGGGGAAAAAGTATCTCAATAAGTATATTGCATCAAATGGAGAGTGCCTTGAGAGTGACTGAAGTTTAAACAAGAATATACAATTTTTTAGAAGTAAATCCCATTTTTGGGTGGTCCCTCCTCATACAGTTCCTTCATGATGATATTTAATGATTAATTATATTTATGTAATCAACTGCTTTTAAAATTTTGGGGGTAGAAGTTGTAGTGTTATGCTGCTGAGGAAAATTTTAGGAGATTATATTAATGGAGAAACAAACAAAAGAAAGAATTTATAACCGAGTACAAGAAAAAGAGGAAATTATTAAAGAAGGATTTGATTTCTTTGTCTCCTACTAGAGGACAAACTCTGAGCTCCAGCTTAGGAAGAGCTAGGTGTGGGATTGGGAATGAACTGTAGGGTAAAGTACGGTAGTCTGAGGACTGCCAGATATGAACAATTATCCTGTTTTCTGTACAAACTACCACTTATATCACTGACCACCGCACAGGTGTTGGCAAGCATGACTGTGTAAAATAAGGGAAATTTGCTGTGGGGAGGGCTACCCTCAGGGTCAGAGAAAGGCAACGTAACCTGGCAGTACCACTGGACACAGAGAGGGTAAAAAGAAAAGCAGCTAGAAGAGCAGAGAAATCCCCAAATGCACACCATCTCTCAGGTGACACCTTCCCTGAATCTACAATTGGGAGAGTTCCAGCTTCCCTCCTTGTTTCTAGCTCATACACTCTGAAGGGAAGCCTGTTCATGGCACTTCTTTGACCACTCATTGCAGCCGGAAGAAGTCCACTTGCAGAGCCCTGTGCTTAATTATTACCTGCAGAAGTGAGCTCTGTCTAGATGTATCAAACAGGAATCTTTTAACAATAATAGCTAAGGAAATTCCTATCAACTATCATTAATGATCAATCTATATTTGAATTTTAAAATGTGAATACACAAATATCATTTGGCAATTGGGGAAAACCAGTAGCATGACAGTTATCAAGATACATAAACAGAACACCTAATCCTGCATTCTCTACTCCTCCCCTTGAAAAAGAGATAATTCAGAAAACCAAAGATTTAAAACATCACAAATATGACATTAGAGAGATATGAAAGGATAGTGCAAACTTGAAACAAGAACAGCCGTCACTGGAAAAGGAGAAATAGGAACACAAGAAAGATCCTAGGTATTTTAAATGATTTAAGAAATATATTTTAAAAATACTTAATGGAAGAGTACAGTACTGTACTAATCACTCTTACTTAACATAATACTGGAAGACCTAGCCAGAGCAATCAGGCAAGAGAAAGAAATAAAATATCCAAATAGGAAAGAGGAAGTTAAATTATTTCTCTTTGCAGATGATATGATCCTATATCAAGAAAAGTCTAAAGATTCTACCAAAAGACTCCTAGCACTGATAAACAACTTCAGTAAAGTCTTGGGATACAAAATTAATGCTCAAAAATCAGGAGCATTTCTATACACCAACAACGTTCAAGCTGAGAACAGAATCAAGAACACAATTACATTTATAATAGCCACACACACACACGAAAACACCTCAGAATACCCAAAGAGGTGAAAGCTCTCTATAACGAACAAAACACTGCTCAAAGAAATCAAAGATGACACAAACAAATGGAAAAGCATCTATTCTCGTGGATTGGAAGAATCAATATTAAAAAGTTCTACAGGCTAAAGCAATGTACAGATTCAGCACAGTCCCTATCAAACTACCAGTGTCTTTCCAGGCCTGGTGGCTCATGTTTGTAATCCAGCATTTTTGGAGGTGGAGACAGGAGGATCACTCGAACCCAGGAGTTCGAGACAAGCCTGTGCAATATAGTAAGATCTCATCTCTGCAAAAAACAAATTGAAAAATGATGTGGTGGTGTATGCCAGTAGTTCCAGCAACTTGGGAGGCTGAGGCAGGTGGATTGCTTGAGCCCAGGAGTTGGAGGCTGTGGTGAGCTGTGAACATGCCATTTATACTCCAGCCTGGGCCACAGAGTGAGACCCTGCCTCAAAGCAAACAAAAAAAAAACTGCCAGCATCATTTTTCACAGATCTAGAATAAAACAATGCTTAAATTCATATGAAAGCAAAAAAGAGCCCAAA